CATTACACCATTTTTTGTTGAGTAGGACAAGAAATTAAACATGATAAAAATGTTTTTTTAAATAATGTATTTAATAAGAATAAATTGATAAATTTCTTTCTCTTTCAAACAGCATCAATAATTAACTATCTATCTTTTTATTCATTCAGAAGCACTTATGCTTAGAAAGGGAGTGTGAGATTGAAGAGATCCACATGGCCTGATAAAAGCGTGTGGAGCCATTGAAGGCTGACTGCGGTATTGTGGCTCTTGTGTATATCATATGCAGTTTTCTGTATATCATATGTGTTATTATGTAAGGTTATATTATATATATATATATATAAAGACACCCTGTATTATTAATGGATACCAAGTCAGGGTTTCCTAATTTCATTTCAATTATGATTTATGATCAAATAATACTGATATAATTTGTTAGGGGTAAGTAAAATGTGCTGCACCTAACTGGATGGGCCGAGGATACAAAGTGATTGTGTAACGTCTACAAAACAAATACATTTGAATAAACTCCATTGAAGTGATTGTGTTTGATCAGAATTTTATTGAGTTCTATGTATAAAAAAAAGTTATTGAGTGTTTTTTATTTTTTGGAGTAGTTCAAATTATGATGGGAGCAAAGCATGTCAAACAAATTCAATTTTTTTCAGAAAATATTATTTTTTTAAACAAAATCATGCCAAAGTATATATTATATTGCTAATTTATTAATGGATACTAAGCCATCATTTCCTACTTTCAATTAAATACTCACATAACCAAAACAACGATTAACATATCTTGTTATGCACAACATAACCATGGAGTGTTTTCACCATAAAATCATCCGATATAAAAAAAAAAAAAAACACCCTTCATTTGAGTGAGCTTTTTTTTTTTTCTCTTTTCCTTTGGGGGGTACAATTTGAGCGAACTTGGGCTTTGTGGTTTTCATATGCTCATCCCAGCCCAATGACCCATCAGGGGCTTTTTGAAGAATTTGTCCAAGATGGCCCAAAGTGACTAGATGTTAACTTAACCCGGTCTACTTCACATTAAAAATGCATGTGAAAATAAAGTATAAGAGTTGTTGGATTTGGTTCACCTGGCCCATAACAATGACTAATTGTTCTCAAGAACAAGTATATTTGATGATTTAATATGAGCAGTAACAGATTTAATATGAACAAGCTTTGGCATTTTTGAAAAATATTACGTGATGAAGGATCGTCATTGCCCACGTTGCCACTTTGCCAGTTTGATGCTTTGGATGTTTCATCACTTATATTCTATCTTCAGGTAATCTCCCAAAAAAAATTGTATCAACAGAGTTCATGAGTCGTTATTTATTTACTTAATGAAAATATATAAGCCCCGAGAGAAGTTAAAGCAGCAGTACAAACCTCGTACTACTGTTCGTCTTGAGTCTTGATCAAGCCTTCTCGTTGCACCGGTCCATATATTTTAGGAAGAATAATAATATAGAGGTCCAAAAAAGATTAATTAATTTAATTTAAGTCTCAAGTGTTAAACTCCATAAATTTTCAAGTTTGATTTTTAATTTTGCGACTTTATTGTAATGAATTTATAATTTGTATTTCAAATTTTAATAGAAAAAAAATGTGTCTATTCTTCAATCATATTAAAATTTACAAAACAAGTTGCAAATTCATTAAAAAGAAGTTGCAAGATTGAGAGCCGAATTAATTGATTCTTTTGGGATATCTTTGTCATTTGCATAATAATAAAATGTTTTCAACGAAAAAAAAAAGCCAGTACATGATCACAACAAGTTTGTACCTAATATGATATTATTTTTAAAAAATATAACGAAAAGTTAATTCCTCAATCCTTATAGTTTTACCAATTTTTGAATTAGGTCTTTGTAATTTTTTTTATTTTTATTGGATCCTTATAGTTTCCACAGTTAAAAGTTTAAGACCTTCAGTCTATGATTGCTTCTAAATCTGTTAGTCTATGGTAACTAAGGATGGTGTGGTGTTGAATAAGCACTGATTAAGCTCACACCTCAATAAATTTTTTAGCGTGGATACATGACTAGATAGAGATTGCCCGAACCTAGCATCTCTCATCTATCCATCGTCCCTTGTTCCATCTTTCTCCACCCTCATCCTTCCTTCCTCGAACCCCATGAGAGTAAAGAAGCCAATATTAGAGAACCGTGACCTTTAATTGCTCTGGGGATTGGCCACTGTTCTCGCTATCGATTAACTCAAAGGAAATGCCGTTGCTTTCGTTGCTTAATATTGGATTTCTCTTCTTGTAACCCAGTTTTAATACACAGGTCAATGATCGATTCCCTTCCCTCTCTCCCCATTGCTTCTTCCACAAATCACGAGTTTCTCTTATTCAATCTAAATCTTACTCGATCCCCTCCCCAGATATTCCTCATGATTGTTGGTAGCAACAAAGAGGACCATGTTCTTGGAGACATTAGCAACAGATACTGCATATATTTGTTTTCTACTTGTTCTAGGTACTGGAAAAATAGCAAAGGCAAGAAAATTAATTGTTTGCTTCATTAGGTCTGGTTTACAGTAATTTTTTTGCAGAATGTTTTATCATTTTTTATTTCTCCAATTTTGTCTGGTTTACAATATTTAAACTTCAATTTTATCAGTTGCTTTGATTTGTGTTTCAAACTCATCGATGTTTTCCCCTCAATGCTTTCGACATCTTGCGTGTTCTTTCAGAAGTCCTCCCATCGGCGGCGTTCAAACTCGATCTCCCATACTCTTACATGTTCGACAAATCAACTGATAACACCCAATGAAATGTATTTACTTGTTCGGCTATCTCCCTTCTCTTCCAGGAAGCAACTCTCTTCTTCACCAAGTTTTCTTTCGGTCGGTCGTGCGTCTAGAGGAAATGTGCTGGGTATGTTTGGTTTATGCAATACATGTCCAGTCACATGTCTACGTGGAAGAATTTGTCCAATTGTGTGCTTAGTCAATGCTTATTCAGCACCACATCATCCTCAATCACCATAGACTTAACGGATTTAGAACCAATAAACCTTTGACTATGTAAACTATAAGGATCTACTAAATAGAAAAAAAGAATTACAAGGACCTGCTTCAAAAATTGGTAAAACTAAAAGGACCGGAAGATTAATTTCCCAAAATATAATTGCAATTAGAAATATTTATTAAATCAATGCGAAAATAAGATTTATCAAAATTTAATTCTAACAGAACGACACGAATTGTTGTAACAGAAAGTGTTATTTGATAAATCAATTGAAAAGTATGGTTTCAAAAACATAATTTAGTTCAGCAAAAGTGTGGAAAAATAAAATAATCGTAATAAATGTGAAGCTTAATTAAATGTGTCTTGTTATATTTTCAAAGTCTTATAAAAATTATTTTTATTGTATGGGGGCTTAAATAAATTTTCTTCTTCTTGTTTTTTTTTTAACGTGTGGAAGGGGTCAGAAATGAATTTCTAGGGTCATTATTATGAGCATCTAATTGTCTTTTGTGCACGGAATACAATACTACATAATGATATTTTGTCAATTATGTTATTATTTCAGTCTCAAATTATAAGACTTTTAAAGGGATTTCTCTGTCTCAAAATATAAGACACTTTAGGTAGGTTAAAGTTTTATTAAATACATCAATTTTAATATTACCTTTTCTCTCTTTATAATTAATTTTCATCTCATTCTCTTCTCAATATATTAAATGATGGGTATTTTTAAAAGTTTATATTTTTATTTTGAAAAGATAAGATTGTTGAGTATATTTAATAAGGTTTATTAATATGTGAGATTTTATTTAAAAGCATATTATAATTTGATACGGAGGGAGTACTTTATACTCATATTTAATTATTGATCAATGCTAATCCACATCTGAGCTTAGTCAATGTACGGCATGAATTAATTAAGAGTGTCCATTCCATATTGGCGGGCGCATTATATATCATACATAAAAATTTCATGCTGATTCGGGTCACGAATGCTTGTGCCGCATTTATAGACAAAGAATCCTATGAAGTTATACAAAAAGCTACATATGAGCCTTAGCTAAATTATTGATACCAAACTTCCCATGCTTGTGCCGCATTTGTAGACAAAGAAACCAATAATGTATAATGCTGTTCCTAATAAGAGCCTAAACCCAAAGTATCTTTATCAATCAACGCATGTTGGCTTGGATGGTAAATGGTTTTAGTTTCCTGAAATCAGCTCTTGGGTTCGATCCCCTAGAATCATGAGAATAGAGAAAATATGCTTGGGAGAGCCATCTTCTTTGAGGCCTTACAATGCTCGAATTCAAATTAATCAAGGTTGTCCGCTTCAAATACCGAATAGTTATACACAAAAAAAAGTATGTTTATTAAACTGCAATTACCTTAGGAAAAGTTCATATTTTTTTTTTTTTAATTTTTGAGTAGTTTATTATAACTACTTTAGTCCTTTAGTAGATTGTGGTCTTCTCATGTTTGTTTTCATTTACAGTCATGCCTGTGTTGTTCTTCTTCAAAATTTAATTTTTTGCACAAAAATATCTAATCATATCGCATATATGACGCGGAGAATCTTCGTTTAGGTTTGTCTTCTCTTGAGAAGACTTTTCCTCCCATGCATGATCCATGTGGGTACAGTATATAATTAACGAATTTTTACATCTGTCCCCAAAATTTCTCAAGCTCTTTTTGTTAAACTATTTAACGGGAATATACTTCCACGACCTATATTTCAGCCCTGAATTTAGTATATGAAATTAAGTATATTAAGAACTTTATACTTTTTGTGTACTAAACAAAAGAAATTATGGCTTTATTTGGTATTTTTAACTTAGAAAAATGTATATTCAGATAAGATGTGGTATGAAATTGCAGGCAATAAAAAATGTTTTATTGACTTCTACTTCCCAATCAATTCATATTGACTTTGACTTTTAGAGTAATGCTTTGCACGCGAAAGGCTTGTCGCGGAATATATATGTGGCCTCCCATTATTAAGACCAGAAAGCAAGTGTGTGCTTCTTCTAAGTTCCTACCTAATTGCCTTGCACAGAGTTCTCAAAGCATCCCAGTGTTTCTCAACAAAATGAAGGCTTGTTCAGTCAGCAAGTTACCTTCATTTTGGTCCCTGTGCCTTCACTTGCCTCTTTTCCTTGCTTTGATCTTCCCATCTTGTAGAACTGTTTCCTCATTGAGAAACGACACAGATCATTCGTGCTTACTCAAATTCAAATAATCAATATCCGATGATCCATACCATATCTTGGATTCTTGGAATACTTCTACACACTTTTGTCACTGGCATGGAATCACTTGTGGCCGCAAGCATCAACGAGTCACACGGTTGGACTTAGATGGATATCACTTGCGTGGTTCTCTGTCACCTTCCATTGGAAATCTCTCCTTTCTGAGAGTCATTATTCTTGACGACAATGACTTCTATGGAGAAATCCCTCAAGAGTTAGGTCGCTTGTTTCGATTGCAAGTACTTAGCCTCAGCAATAATACACTGAGCGGGGAATTTCCAGTCAACGTGACAAGTTGCTCTAAACTCAGGTACTTATCTTTTGGTGGGAATAATCTTACTGGCAAAATACCAAAGGAGATTGGTTCTCTCCATAATCTTGAAAAACTATTTCTGCCCATGAACAATTTCATGGGAACCATCCCAATTTCCATGTGGAATATTTCTTCCTTTGTTGTAATTAGTTTAGACTTGAATCACTTGGAGGGTAGAATACCTGAAGAAATAGGTCACTTGAAAAGTTTGATAGGATTTGCAGCAGGTGGAAATAAACTTTCTGGTGCAATTCCTTCTTCTGTTTACAATTTGTCAAATCTCATTAACTTTGAGATTACACAGAATCAGATCAGTGGCTCTCTCCCAAGCAACATGTTTGTCAACCTCCCTAATCTTCAAAATTTTCTGCTCGGAGAAAATCGATTCTCAGGTCCTATCCCAGCTTCCATTGTAAACGCCTCTATGCTTCAATGGATCTCCATACCAGGAAATAACTTTGTAGGGCATGTTCCAGATCTTGGAAAATTGCATGACCTTTCATTTCTGAGTGTGGGTCATAATAATCTAGGAAGCAATTCTTCTAACGACTGGGAGTTTTTAAAACCTTTGATCAATTGCAGTAAGTTGGAAATTCTAGCCTTGAATAGCAACAATTTTGGTGGCCATCTACCAGATACCATAGGAAATTTGTCTGCTCAAGTCACACAATTATATCTTGAATATAATCAAATATCTGGCAAAATCTCTCCAGCATTAGGAAACCTCGTTAACCTGAGGCTATTGCACATGGAGATGAATTATTTCACTGACATCATCCCATTTACTTTTGTAAAGTTTCAAAAGATGGAAGCTTTATATTTATCAGGAAACAAACTGTCTGGAGAAATAACCCCTTACATAGGTAACCTTACTCAATTATTTGATTTGGATTTGTCAGATAATATGCTTGAAGGACAAATCCCTTCCAGCATTGAAAATTGCAAAAAATTGCAGCAGCTTGACCTATCACAAAACAAGTTTAGTAGAGCTATACCAATAGAGATCTTCGGCCTTCCATCTTTATCAGTCTCTCTAAACTTATCACACAACTTGCTGAGTGGCAATCTCCCTAATGCGGTGGGAAATTTAAAAACTATTACTAAATTGGATGTCTCTCACAATCATTTATCTGGCGATATTCCAAAAACCATTGGAGATTGTGCAAGCTTGGAGTATCTCCTTTTACAGGGAAATTTCTTTCAAGAAACAATTCCTTCATCTTTGGGCTCATTAAAAGGTTTACGATATTTAGACTTGTCAAGAAATAACTTGTCCGGATCAATTCCAGAAGGTCTGCAAGATATTTCTATTTTAACATACTTCAATCTTTCTTTCAATATGTTGCATGGTGAAGTACCAAAAAAAGGTGTCTTTAGCGATGCAAATGCAATATCATTGACAGGGAATAATGGCCTCTGTGGTGGCATATCAGAGCTAAAACTACCATCATGCCCTGTTAATGACAAGGGAGAAACAAACCATCATAATTTGAAGTTGGTAGTAGCAATATGTTGCGTGGTGGGTTTTCTTCTTCTTTTACTTCCATCTATACTTTTTATTTATCATAAGAGGAAAAGGAGCAAGAAATCTTCTGAGAGTCCACCAACAATTGACCTACTTCCCAAGGTGTCATATCAAAGTCTACACAATGCCACAGATGGGTTCTCAGTCAACAACATGATAGGATCAGGAAGTTTTGGCTCTGTATATAAAGGAAGTCTTGAGTCTTATGACGTTGTTGCAGTAAAGGTCTTCAACCTTCGATGTAAGGGAGCTCCAAAGAGTTTCGTGGCTGAATGTAATTCACTTAGGAATACAAGACATCGGAATTTGGTAAAAATTTTAACATGCTGCTCTAGCATAGATTACAAGGGCAATGAATTTAAAGGTCTAGTTTATGAGTACATGGTGAATGGAAGCCTGGAAGATTGGTTGTATCCAAGTGAAGAAAATCCGAATCCTCCAAGAATGCTGCTTGTTGATCAGATATTAAACACTCTTATTGATGTTGCATCTGCATTACATTATCTTCACCATGAATGTGAGCCACCACTTGTTCATTGTGATCTGAAGCCAAGTAATATCCTTCTTGATGGGAACATGGTTGCTCATTTGAGTGATTTTGGATTAGCAAGACTACTTTCAACTATAGAAGGCATTGCTCCTACACAGAGCAGCACAATTGAAATAAAGGGTACTATTGGCTATGTTCCTCCAGGTATCACTTAATTTTTAGAGACATGAAAAATTCATTACTTTCAAACTCTGCTTTTTTTAACCATTTTGTTCAATGATTAATTACACACACGCACGCACACGAGAACTAATAGGCTTACAATTGAGATTTCAGAGTATGGATTGGGTTCTGATGCATCAGTACAAGGTGACATGTATAGCTTTGGCATTCTTGTTCTAGAAATGTTAACCAATAGAAGGCCCACTGAAGATATATTTATGAATGGTCACGATCTTCATAGCTATGTGGAAATTGCATTTCCGAACAAGGTTTTGGAAGTGGTGAGCCCAACTATTCTTCCAAGAGAATCTGAACATAGAACGGCAGAATCAGGAGACTCATGGAACAACATGATACAAATCCATCCTAATTTGCAGAAATGCTTACGTTCTTTATTTAAGATTGGACTTTCCTGTTCAATGGAATCTCCAAACCGAAGAATGAGTGCTGCAGATGTCATCAGGGAGCTAAATTCTATCAAAAGTTCCGTACCTTCAGGTGAGTACAATAAACTCTTTTATATTTTCGAAAATTCTTTTCTCTATATGAAATTAATTGAGAAAATCACATGCAAAGACCTGATAAAAAACTTATTGGATTGCAGATAAAGATTAATAACAATTTCAATTGGAAAAAAAAAAAAACACATGTACATGTTCTCATTTTAATAGTAATCTATTCTGTATTAGTCCTTATATGTAAATAAGATTCTTGTTAGATCATCAAATGTGATTCTCCCAAATTGATTTTACCTCATTCTTGCCATCACCTTCCATTCATGCTCCCACTTTTTTATATACTTTCCCCGTATATTCTACATATTTTGTCACCTTAATATTTGTCAAAAGAAACTGCTTTTTGTTTTGAATCGAATGCTTAATTCTTTCTGTGCATGTGGGTTCTATCAATGTTTAATAAGTTTCTAATTAAGCATCTATTTTTCTGTAACAATAGAAGCCTTCTGCACTCCTCTCAATTTTATTCTTCTAGTTTTTTTTTTTTGCTTAAAAGATATTGGTATATATCACAAAAGCTATGTCTAGATTGTCTTAATTTCTTACAACGGTTATGTTCTATCTTTTGTTTAATTAATGTCATCGGCATCTCATTTTTGTTTTTATTGTTGTAGGTAATCGAATGTTATTTGGTCCACCTGTTTCAACAAATAATCGAAACGTCAATGGGATGAGCTAAACACTGTTTGCATAGGCATGTCTAGTTTGTAGCCTTGTTTGTATGCGCTTATTTTTGATTACTTGGTCTACACGTGGTCTTCACAAGTTTATAGGCGGAGATCATCATAATGTGCTTTATGTTTGTTTTTATTATTTGTGGTTGGGAGAAGAGCTTCCTTTGTTATGTATGACTAATAATGGTTCCTTAACGATATTGTGTCCTCTATGTTTCATCCTCTTGTTCTAGTATCTACTGTGCACTTTGGGTATGCGGTTTCTTTTTATCAAATAATCTGAAACAGAGCGAGATTTTTTTTTTTTGGAACTAAGAAAATCCATCTGAAATGCTAATCTACATGAAATGACAAAATTATTCCAATTAACATGCATGGTGCATTTTGGACTTTGGTGGGTGTATTAAATATATATATATATATATATATTATGCATAAAAATTTAATGTTGATTTTGTGATGCACTCCTTGTGCCGCATTTATAGACAAAGAAACCAATAATGCTATATACTAAATAATAAAATGCTATATTGATGCGACATTAAACTTCCTATGCTTCGTACGTACGTGACTGATCATTCATAATTGTCTAGCTATGTATTGCATGTGAACTTGACTATTCATTCATATGCTTCACGTTAATCATTAATATCATTATCATTATCATAATTGATATGCTGATTCTAAATCATAAACAATACTAGTTATTTTTAGATTTTGTGTAATACACGACCACGTGATGTCCAACCGTATATGCAGAATCAGAATACGTACAGGTGACTTTTTGCCTAACGAAATATTCTTGAGTTATTATATAACAGTATGTTTATAATCAGGTTTCATACAATGGATGGACATATGCTTGTTTTTTTAGATCATATTAAGGAAAATTTTTATGAAAATAATACCTTGGGACCAAATAAAAAGGATTATAAGATTTTAGGATGCCAAACTTTTAAAGCGTTACTTAAAGATCTTGATCTTTTGCATATATTAATAAAATATCTATATTCACATTCAAATTGGAAATCCTAGAAAACTTAGTTAACATTATTTCAGATTCACTCTTTCCACATTTTCAGCTTATATACATTATTTTTTCAGTTTATATTTTGATATTTTCAAAATTGAAGAATAAATATAAAAATTCTTAATTAATTAAAAAAATCCATACTAAATTTTTGGGATTTTCAACTTAGCTCTTTCATCAGGATTTTTAAATGTACTTTTGTATGTGTTTGTAGGAATTTCTTTTGTTTTCTCGTTTTCTTTTAGGGCTTGTTGTAGCCCCATTTGATATTTCTGTCAGTTTTCTAGAGTTGCTTGACTTAGTAATGACCTTATTTAATGTATGTAAACAAGGATATTAGTTATCTAGTATCAACTTAAAAATAAAAAATAATTAAATTTTAAATCTATAAATAAGTTTTATGTTTGCATTTAGTCTAGGTCAGTGGTGATAATGCTCCAAACTTTTCTAAGTTACTGAATGGAGGAGTAAAACAAAAAAAAAAAAAAACCAACAGCTTGCATGCTTGAATTTTAGATTCACTAAGGCACAATTACTTTAGCTAACAAAATTTTCAATAGAGCTTCTAAACCAAAATCTAGGTTAGGATTAAAGTAAAAAATTCTGACTTCTCAAAAGTGGTTCTGAATCAAAATCTAGGTTATCAATTTATTGTACCTTTTAGAATTTAATATTTTATAATTTATCAATTTATTTTAAATTTTTAAAACTTATAAATAATATTTCATTATCTATATATAAACTGAGAGGATTGCTTGGCACAGGATCACACGCCATTGGATTCTCGCATTGCAGCAGATTTGCCAACCATAAAAGGAAAACACTTTCATGCACTTATTCATTCATTCATTTATTTTTTCCTTTTTACCAGCTGCACTTACCTCCTTTTACCCATATTCTCATTATTTCACAGTGAAAAAGCTCATTCGCCTCCAATAAGTTATTCTCTTTCTTGAATATAATTATAATATATTCATTTCGGTCTAAAATATGTATCATTTTCTGAGTTACGATTGATTCACAACGTAAGATATTTTGAAAAAATTCAATATTATTAAATTCTTTTTATAAATGTCAATTAATTAAAATAGATTAATTTCAAGTAGGAGGTAATATTAAAAAGTAATAACGATTTTTTATTTTTAATGATACAAATCACTTTTAACTATTTTTCTTAATTTATATAAAGTGATTAAAACTATCATTACTTGTTAGTTCTATCATGCATATTCCGTAGGTACAAACAAATGAACAATCTTGTTGTGGGGTTAGACTTTGAAACTGGATTGGACATAAATAAAAGGGCCTTTGAGTTGTTACTAATAGGACTTTCAAATAATTAATAGAACAACCATAATAAGTTGCAAACTTCTCGCTGTCACTTGCAAATATTGGAGGAAGAGTTGTAAATCACCATATTATTCTTGTTTTAAATACTCTCAAGTAATAATGATAAAATAAAATAAATAAGAAATTATTTTTTATGATAAAAATAGTCCTATGACTACTTGCAATTGATTTTAGATAATCTTAGACAACTAACAAAAGTTGATTTAGTTGATAAAGATTTAACCCATAACCTAAAATATCACATAATCAAATCCTACCTCCTGTGTGGGGGGGACCTTAGTGGACAATTTATAAGGAATTTTGTAAGCATGTTTGAGTCTAGGTAAGTTCTTGAGATCCAACTTACTTAATCTTTTCTTTTGAATAAAAAATGGGAAGATTACACTAAGGTTTTATAGAAGAGAATTTATTATCGAGAGGTTACATGAAATTCATAAAATACTCTTAAATCTCAAATCCTGTGCATTTAAAACTTAGCAATGAGAACTTACAATCAGGTAATGGGCATGCACAACTTGCTATATCTGTAAGTTGCTCTCTTCTGTTGATCGAATATTAGTTTTACTTCACTCAATGTACGCAAGCTTTTCTTCTAGCTACTTGGTTGTGTGTCTATGTGTAAGTGTGTGTGTGTGTGTGTGTGTGTGTGTGAGATTCTGAATATAAATTGTTCGACAAGGGAGTGCATGTAGGACCAGTGAACCATTGGTTAGCTTTAGATGAATGGCCATATCATTTGTATGCCAACTTCAACTCATGCTTTGGCAAGCTAATCCAGATGGCATCAGATCACCATCAGGATTCATGAGTTTGAGGCCATGTCCCTCTACTGTGTCACCACGCCTAATTAGCATAATCTTAATAATATTTATCAGTCTGTTTTGTACTGGAGTTGTGTGTCATGTATCTCTTCATTTCAATGACTATATTTAACCTTTGTGCTATACACAGGAGCCTGATTTCCATATTTATGATATTTTCCATGTTGGGGGGTTATAGACAAGGTTCCCTAATTAAGATTGAGCTTCTCTCCTCTACTCTAATGATCCCAAATTTGGAAATAAAGATGCATGTCCTTATGCTTATGGGACTAACCATGATCTCTCCTACAATATTATATGGAAAATTAATTTCATCATTAATGAAAAAAATTAATATTTGTATGCTTAATGGACATATTTATTTTAATTATTAAATTATTATTTTTCACTAATTAATATTTGAATAAATTCATCCCTCCAAGAATAATATATAAGCATTTGGATATCCGCTGGGCAAAATTGATTAATTTGATTGATTTTAAAGATAATTGATTATATTGTGTGATATAATTACTTTAAAAAATTGATTAATAAAATTAATTTTATGCATAATTAAACAGCATAATTGAAATTCAGATAAAAAGATGATTTTTTTTAAAAAAATATAAATTGAAACACGCATATTACATGTAAAAATCAATTATGAACTCAACCATAATTTTCTAAAAAATATCCAAACATCCTAAAACCTCTAGGTGCTCCTTTTCCTTTCTTCGCACCTTCCTAGCCTTTTTTATATTATTATTAAAAGACTATAACACTATTACAAAACTGATTCCAGGTAATAAACGTCGTTAGCAGTTAATTAACTGCTATGTTGTTTTATACAGTATTACGAAAAAAAGCATTTTTTATATGACTCAGTATGTGACGGCAAATGCTCTCACCAAACAAGCTAGGCGCTGAATTGGCAGGCTATTGCATATATATTACTTTGCTTATCAAAAGAACTAATTAAGTCTCAATATAAGGTATCATTTTTTGAAATTATAAAAAGAGGAAGTATGGAAAGCTTCGAGCAATAAAACGTAAAATAAACTCCATTGAAGTTATAAAAAATCTTCAAAATCTTTCCATACGACCGATGTAACCTAAACCCTTATAAAAAAAAAAATACATTCAAATAAAGTGCAATGAAATGATTGTGTTGAATGAAAAATTTATGGAGTTTACACACACACACACACACTCACTCACTCACTCACACACACACAGGATTACGTCACATTTATTAAGGGGGAAAATGCATGTCAAACGAATTCAAATTTTTTTATATTTTGGTTGCGTAACTCAAGTTTCATTATTCATATTAAAAAACGACTATCGTGTGTTATACCTGCCGAAATATATTGGGATCGATCATCACGTAAATTGCATTGTCTTCTCTTGTTTTTCTAGTCACTCATGAGCTTCAATCCAATTGCTATATCTAATTTGCTCTCTTCTTTTGATCTAATATTAGTTTGGTTTTACACATTAGTGTTATTGATATGTTTGATTCTGAATATTGTTGGATATGGGATGCAGGACCACTGTCAGTACGAATATTATTTCATATTCAAAAAAACATATTGTCTAAAATATCTGTATTCACATTCAAATTGGAAATCCAGGAAAATTAGTTAATATTATCACATTTACTCTTTCCACATTTTCAACTTACATCTATACATTATTTTTTCAATTTACATTTTGATATTTTTAAATTTGAATAATTAATATAAAAAATTCTTAATTAATTAAAAATAATCCTTGCCAAATTTTTATGTTTTTTAAGTGTATTTTTGTGGGAATTTTTGTGTTCTCATTTTCTTAGGCCTTGTTGTGTTTTATGTTTAGCCATTTGATATTTTGTCAGTTTTTTTAGTGTTGCTTGACTTTTTTTTTTTATGCAAAATGAGAACAAGGAATTAAAACCTACAATCAATCTCCAAACTATCAGGAATAAAAATTGGCAGCGTTGTAAAGAACACCACATCCATATCTGATTTAAAGCTTCCTTTGCTAATAGATCAGCGACTATATTAGCCTCACGATTGCACCACAGCAGTGCCACGTTCCAGTCTCTTATCATCATCCTTTGAATTTTTGCTATAATGTCATGGTCAGGATGATTAGGTTGCTCCTCCTTTTACAAAATAGTAATTGCTTCTAAACAATCAGTCTCGAGCTCAATGTTCTTCTAGTCCATGTCCCAAGCTCGCTTAAGCACCCATAAAATCCCTCATAACTCAGCATTTAAGCTACTGCCATTTCTATATGATATATGAAGCCTCCTAGGGCCTTCCCTATGTGATCTCTAGCAATACCACCATATCCAGTTATCCCTCCATTAGCTGCACTAGCACTATTAACATTGAATTTCACAGTTCCCTCCCTTAGCGGTTCTCATCTAATTCTTTCACTCTCAAATTCTTTACTAATCAACTCAGGCTTGGACCAAGAAACCAAGGCCTACACTTGAGCTAAAACTGTTGACACCACACAATCCTTCTACTAAAAAATTTTAAGATTTCTACTCATCCATAATTGATGACAAAGAATAGCATACCATATGTCCCACCAGAATCCTCTCAAAATCAATCTTTGAGATAAATTCCATTTAATCCAATCATTAGTGTTATTGGGGGCTTTAAAAGTTATTTTGAGTTCACCTGGCAACAATCTATCCCAATAATTAGACATAAGTTTACAATCTCTAAGAACATGAATGATATCTCTAGTACACTGAGGACACACAGAACATTTATCATCCACATATAAGCCTTTCCTAGATCGAAGAGAGTTAGTCATGAATCTACCTCTTGCACATAACCAAAGGAAAGTTTTGTTGCGTTGTAGAACTAGAGCTTTCCAACCTTCCTCCATACACTCTCACGAACAATACCGTCATTTGAGCAGATACTCTTGTAAGTAGATCTAGTAGTGAACTCACCATCGTTAGACCACTTCCATCTTGGGCTATCATCACTCTAATTGCTTTTAACACAATAGATATCTTTGAGCACATGTCTAGGTAGGTATTCCTTGAACATATTGCTCGCCTATCCACTGATCAACGAGATATACTTGTCAACCATGTCATCACACATTTCTTCTGGCACAGGTTTCAATGTATATTCTAGCAGAGATTCATAATGAGGTATCCAATAGTCCTTCCAAAACTTGACTTTATTTCCTGTACTAATATGCCATGCTAATCCCTTTAAAGTATCAAGCCATGCATCCCTAATCCCTTTTTAAGTACTTGAACCTCTTCTCTGAGTTTCTATCTTTGGAACAACATCCTCACCAAATTTGTATTTTTTTCTCACGAATTTCACCCATAGAGCCTCCCTTTGATACACCAATTCCCATCCCAGCTTCATCATGAAATCTCTATTTTGTCTTAAAGCCTTTCTCAGCCCGAGGCCTCCATCTTCCTTCCTCTAACAAACATCATCCCAAGCTACAAGGTGCATTTTCCTTTGCTAGCTCGTCCCACCCAACACAAAATTCTTATCAATCTTAATACAGGTTTGAACAGGTAATGGAGTAGATTGTATAGCATAAGAAGGAATTGCCACAACTACCGAAGCTATTAAATATGTCTAGCCACCAAGGATAAGGAAGTAGCTTTCCACACTGACAACTAACTATCCATCTTATTCAAGACATGTTGATGAGTATTCTTGGTAACTTTCTTTTAGTACAAAGGAACACCTTAGTATTTACCAAGATCACAAGTAGGAGTAAAATTCAAGAAGCCAGTTATCTTAGCTACAATAGTATGCCCCACGTTTTCAAAAAAGAAAATTATGGACTTAGCACTATTTACCTTCTCACTAGAAATGCTATGAAAATCATCAAGACATGCTTTAATCATACCAACTTGATCCACATTAGCCTCAGCAAAGAGCAATAAATCATCTACAAAAAATAAATGAGATATACCTACCCCATTTCTTTTTAATTTAAAAGGTAACCAATTTTCATTCTCCACTTCCCCTTGTATCATATGTCCTAATTTCTCCATAACTAAAACAAATAGATATGGGGATATAGGATCACCTTATCAAGCCCTATGACAAAATAAATTTCTGCCCCTTTTCTCCATTCCAAAGTATTTGCATTTCAACAATGGAAAGGCATTTAGAGACCAAATCAATAAAATTCATTGGAAAATTCAATTCTGCTAGACAACAAGTAACAAAGTTCTATCTAATCTTGTCATAATCTTTTTCTAAATTAATTTTCAAAGCCATGAACCCTCTCTTTCCCTTGTGCCTCTGAAAAGAATGGATAATTTCTTGAGCAACAATTATGTTGTTAGTACTCTATCTACCCGAAACAAAACTATACTGATTGGGAGTCACAATTTTATGCATAATACCTTTCAATCTAGTAGCAAGAAGTTTAGTAATAGCCTTTTACACCACATTGCATAGACTAATTGGTTGAAAATCCTTCATAGTCTTAGGTATTTCAATTTTAGGAATTAATACTATATTAGTGTCATTAATACGATTCACAGCCTTATATTAGTGTTGCTTGACTTTGTTACATGGTTTTCCTAATGTCTTTTTTAAATCCATGTGCCCAAAGATAATTGTTATCTAGTATATCAACTCAAAAATAAAAAATAATTAAATTTTAAATTTATGTTTTATGTTTGAATTAGTCTAGGTTAGTAGTGGTAACACCCCCAAAATTTTGTAAGATACTAAACGATCGAATAAAAAAAAAAAGTCAACACCTGCATGCTTGAACTTTAGAATCACTCTTAGGCATAACAAAATTTTCAAAAGAGCTTCAATTCTAAACCAAAATCTAGTTAGGATTGAAGTAAAAAAAAAAAAAAACTGATTTCTTGAAGGTGCGAGTCAAAATCTAGATTATCAATGTATTTAACTTTTTAAAATGTAATATTTTATAATTTATCAATGTATTTTAAAAACATATAAATGAAACTTGATTATATATTAAGTGAGATAAATAAGCTGAGAGTATGGCTTGGTACGTACTGGAGCATACACCATAAAAGGAAAAAACTTTCTTGTCCCTACCTTTTTTTACCCAGCTAAGGTTCTCATTATTTCACAATGAAAAAGCTCATTCGCGGCCAACAAGTTATTCTCTTTCTAGAACATAATTATCATACATTTCCTCCCATATGAAATATGGATAACTTTCTATAAGTTATATGGTTGATTCAAAATGTAGGATATTTTGCAAAAATTCAATATTATTACATTCTTCTTTACAAATGTCAATTGATTAAAATAGATTAATTTTAATTAGGATGCAAATTAAAAGGTAATAATAATTTTTTTATCTTTTTAATGATCATACAAATCACTTTTAACTATTGTTCTTAGTTCATATAAAGTGATTAAAACTAGGGAAAAACTTTTATATACACTTAGTTTTATATACTAAAAGTGCTTGTTTTCAATTAAATCAAAATATGCACATCTTTTATAAATTATTTATTATATAAAAATTTTTATTAAAAACATTATTACACATTAAAATTTAATTATGTTGATTTGATTGCATAAAAATATATAAAATATATAAAGCACAGTACTTAAATCTTATGCTTAAAACTATTATTACCGCCATGGTCCTCGTGTAAAACGAGTGTAAGTTTCATTATGACGAACAAATTGACAATAATCTTGTTGGTGGTTAGACTGAAATTGGATTGGACATAAATTAAAGAACTTTTATAAAAGCACCTAATTATTCCTCATAATGCTCCCCCCGTCCTATCGTCCTGCTGGGCACCAATGTTATTGATTCCAAATTCTAATATTAAAATCTCAAATATTATAGGGAGAAATGTCAGTGAAAAAAAGTGGGGATTGAATTTGTTTTTAAGAACTTTGAGACACATGCCATGCATAAACAATATCACAATAAATAACTAATAAAATCAAACAATACATTAATGATAATCCTCTTTTAGAACAACTCATGAAATCAAGAAAAGATCAGAGATACGTCGAGCTCATCAATCTATCGTTATAATAGCGAAGAAAATTAATTTTATTATGGGTCAATTTGAGTTATTGATTCTTTCAAATAGTTAATACAAGAACAACCATAAAATGTTGCAAATATTGGAGGAAGAGTTGTCAATCACCAAACAGGATGAACAACTGTTTATAAGTCCTCCTTTAATATTTACGAGTTCAAAATTAAGAAATTTACAATTAATTCTATATGCTTTTATACAATTTCTTCATAAACGTATAAGTAATAACTAACATTCAATTGATCAAGTGAGAACAAATAGTTTCTAGATTTGGTTGGGGTGAATAATTTTCCACTTGATCCAATATATTTTAATTATATTTTTGTTTTATATACTCTCAAGTAACAATGATAAAGTAAAATATATAAAAAATATTTCTTTATGATAAAAATGTCTACAATTGATTTTAGATAAAGCAATCATGTTGGGGTGGGGCAAAATAGTGGAACTCAGTTATGACTACATGTGTGTGGCTCTATATAAAGGCATATAGGTTGTTTGAACTCCTCACCCTCATCAATTGCATATCACAAGCTAAACAAATGGCTCCAAAAGTTGCATTGTCTTGTCTTGTTTTTCTGCTCTCACTCGCCAGCTTCGTTGCAATCGCTTTATCTGTAAGTTGCTCTCTTCTCTTGATCCAATACTAGTTTTGGTTTCATTTTTACCCATAGTACGCAATCTTTTCTTCTACTTAAATTAGTTTCGACGTGTGTGTGTGTGTGTGTTAGTAGTGTTATTGATATGTTTGATTCTGAATATTAATTGTGTTTCACGCAGGTTCAGTGCCAGTACGTAGTGAGAGTGAAGACAGGAGATCGCGATGATGCAGGAACGGACTCCACCATCAGCCTCAAGTTGACTGACTCTTCCGGCAATGGCTTTACTGTCAATAACCTCGAAGATTGGGGAATCATGGAACCTGGTCATGACTACTTCGAGCGAGGCAACCTCGACATCTTCAGTGGCTCGGCACCTTGCGTCAGCGTTTGTGCCATCACCGTGACCTCCAACGGGGAAGGAAACAAGCCAGGGTGGTACTTGGATTACGTGGAAGTCACCGCCAATGGGCACAAGACAACATTCCCGGTGAGCCAGTGGCTAGCTCTGGATGAATCTCCCCATCATCTCTATGCCACGGTGAACTCATGCTTCGGCAAGCTTATCAAGATGCCTTCAGATCATCAAGATTCTTGAGATCGAGGCCCAGTCCCTTTATGCGACCATATGCTTCATAAGCAAATCTTCGTAATATCTATCTCGCTTTCTGTGTTGTGTGATGTAATGTATGAGTGTCATGTGTCCCTATATTTCAATAACTAGATTCAACCTCCGTGCCCTGCACGCGAGCTTGATTTCTATATTTATAAGAATTTCCATAGCCTGATTGAGCTTCTCTCCTCTCATGATCACACATTGGTAAAAAAAAAAAAAAAAAGAGTACGATCAATTCTTATGGGACCAACCATTCATCTCTCCCACAATATTATATAGAAAATTAATCTCTTAACACAAAAAAAAAAAACATTTAATAGTGACTTTTAATAATTGCCATCAAAAATAACTTTCAACGGCAACAAAATAAGTATCTCTATAAAAAAAATTCAAAACTTAAAAATAATTTATATAATTACTTTTAGTGATAACATTTGTCACTGTTGAAAGTACTTTCTTAAAATAATTTAATTTAATTTAAAATTTTAAAATTAAATAAAGTCATTCAAAAGATGTCTACAAAATTAAATATCTTATTTTACATAAAAAATGAGGAATAAAAGATATATAGGATCAAGAAACAACATAAAAAATAATAAAGATGTGTTAAGTTTAATTATTAAATTTTTTTTAATTTTGCATTATACATAATCCTTTTTTAGACATATATAACTCATCTTATTTAATAATGATCTTATTAAGCTAGTATTTTAATATAATATAATTAAAATCTTAATGGGTGATTACTTTCAATTATAATCAAGCTAAGTTATACAAAAAAACTTACTTGCATACATAATGGTATTGGAATATCAAAGTTGTATAGATGTCATGGGATACAAGTGGCATTGCAGACTACTTAACACATTATATGCACTTGATACTTAGCCTGATATACTCATGATGTCTACTTCATTTGCTAAGTTCTAATGACTCTTTGACAAGGATGTCTTGTAAGCCAAAAGTATAATATGTTTGTTGCCGCTAAAAGTAAACATTTGGTAATGACTTTTAACAGTTGTCATGAAAAAATAACTTAGCGGTGACAAAAGTATTTTTTAAAAATAATTTAAAAATTAAAAATAATTTATATAATTACTTTTGGCAGCAACATTTGTCGCCACTAAAAGTATTTTCTTAAAAAATTAAGTATAACATAAAAACTTAAAATTAAATAAATCATGAATGTGAAATAAATGACATATAGGATCAAGAACCAAAATAAATAATAATGAAGATGTGTTAAGTTTAATTATTAAATTATTTTTTAATTTTTCATTATACATAATCTTATTTTAGACATATATAGCTCATCTTTTTAAATAATGATCTTATTAAACTAGTATTTTAATGTGATATAATCAAAATATTAATAAGCTAAGTTATTCATAAATACTTACTTACTTACTTACTTACATATACATAAATGATATTTGAATGTTAAAGTTGTATAGATATTGTAAGATGTAACTAGCATTGTAGTCTATTTAACACATTTCGCACTTGATGCTAGGCCTGATATACACATGATGTCTATTACGTCTGCTGAGCTCTAATGACTCTTTGAAATGGATGTCTTGTGATTTGCTAATATTTAGGTTTCTATTGTTATGAAAACATAAGTTACTAATAAGATTTTTATATATGAAATATTATTATTAAGAAGAATATGAAAAATTATTCAAATCTACCCTATTGTTATGAAGAAGAGAATAATTAGAAGATAGCTAGATGAAACAATTTTCAAATCTACCTTGATGTTATAAGGTAGAGAATAATTAGAAGTTAGCAAGATTAATCATATTTGGGATCCTTGTAATTATTTTGTATTGTAAAAGTTATTAGCAGTCATTAAAAATTCAAAATTGTTAAAAATGACTATTAACAAATATATGGTTAAAATAATTTTTTGGTTACAATATTTTTTAAAAATAAAATTTATATTTAATAAAAGAAGGGGAAGCATTTAACTTGGAAAATAATAAAAATTTAATAATGCATTTATTACTTTTTGAGAAAAATATGGAGAAGGTAAAAGTAAGAGATATTTAAAATAAACTAATATAAAATATATTTATAAATAAATTATATACTTAATTATTTTAATTTAAAAAATAAAATAAAACTTAAAAAATTGTTAAAATGTATAAAATAAAATTATTTAATATTTAAAATTTTTTTCATTTTAAGTTCATTTTCCTAATAAAGTAATATTTGCTACTGAAAAAATAATATTTCATTAAAAGATATAATATATATATATATATAGTCATATAAATTATTTTATCATATTAATAATTGAAAATAAAATAAAATATATATGTATATCTTTTTAATAATGTATTTTTGATATATATGTATGTAGTTAGATAATATATATTTAACTTCACATATAACAATTATAAGTACATTTTAATTTAATTGAAAAAAATGAGGATTTAAGGTTTGAAAGGTAGAGGTCAATAGCTTAAATCTCGGCTTCGATATATTTCATAATAAATATGTGACATGGCGTATGGTGATGACATGGCGTGAGAAGCACACACATGGCAAGGTGATATGGTGTGAAATGTCAGGTGACATGGCACGAGGAAGCACGCGAGTGGCAAGGGTGACGTGGCATGTGGAGGCGTGCATGTAGTGGGGTGAGGCGCAAGTGACATGGCATGAGGAGGCGAGGACATAGCAAGGTGACATTGCATGAGATGACTCTTTATTTTTATTTTTTTGCAAAAAAAGAAAAGACTTTTGGTTCGTCACTAAAGCTTTTTAGTAGCAACTTTTTGCTGCCAAAAAATTACTACTAAAAGTTTAATTGCTAATAATTTTTTATTACAAAAAACTTAATCGCCTCAAAAAGTATACTTTTATATAAACTTTTAATGGTGAAAAACTGTCACCAAAAAAGCTATACTTTTAGTGATGACTAAGTTATTCGCCATAAAAAACTATTAACTACAAGACTATTGACAATAATCTTTTGCTAATAAAAAAGTTGTTGCTAAAAATCTTTAGCAATCATTTTTGGATTTTTGATAATGACAAAATTCATTTTTTTTATAGTGTAATTAATGAACAAAAGTATTCGTTTGCTTTATATGGACGTGTTTATTTATACTTCGGCAAACGGTCATAGTAACTTTTTCTCTTTCAATGTGTACGAAAGAAGAGGTGCTTTTATTGTAAATTTTTTTTTTTTTTTACCTATGAGTGAAACCTGTTAAAAGATTAAATGCCGACGTTTGTATCCAAAATGTTAACTGAATTGAATATAAAGATATGCAAACAGATTTTTCAACAAAATCACCTTAAATGTAAAGCTATAAAGCATGATTGCACCAAGCTCTGCCGATCCATTTGTTTTTTGAATGATTAATAGAATTACTTATTTTTAAGGCTTTGGAAATCTTTGGTGTAGAAGTGTTTCTCTTTTGGACTTTCTAGTTCAAGTTGCTAGTTTTAGTATATTGATATATAATGTAATGGTCCAAAAATTTAAATTAAATATTTTTCTTTTTTTATTGAGGTTTTATTTAATTAATTTAGTTGTAGCACATGAAGGTAGTGACTTAATAAAATTTTTATTAGTTATTTATATAGAGGTTTAAAGTTTGAATCTTACTTAAATTAAATGTTAGTTTTATCTTCTTATATGAGAAATTACTAAAATGTCTTTGTTTTTATTATAAAAATATAATAAAGACGATGATGATGATCTGGTGGGTCTGTTTTTGAAACATCCCCAACAAGCTTTGGGTCTTGTTTTGTAATTTTCCAATGAGCTTATTATTCCATTCTCTCCCTCCTTCTTGTCGGTTAGAAGCTGTGGAACAGAGTGAGAGAGTGCTTCACGTCTGTCTCTGTTTTTCTTCTCCTTTCCCGTCGCGCAGGCTTCAGTCTTGCCTTGGTGTGCTTGTCTCCTCACCGCCAGCAATTCACCACTCCTTTCCCTCTGTTGTTCGCCCATTTCTATCAAGAGGTAAAGCTAAATCTCTTACTCCATTTCTGCTCTGTGTCGTGGTTGATGGAGGTGTGTGTAAGCGAGTTCAGTTATCTCTTTCTTCTTTCTCATCTGTTGAAGTCCCGTGTGTGCTGGAGTGGTAGCTGATTCTTTTATTTGCTGGCTGAAATTCTGGTCTCATTCCTTCTCGTGCGTGTAACAGGTTGAAGCTCTCCTCTTCTCCTTCCTCGATGCAGGCCACTTGCTGTTTCATATTTGTTGCCATTGTGTTTAGTTGAGGTAGTTGCTGTTTTTATCCTCTTCAGTTCCTACAGCAGCACCGAATGATCTTTTCCCTTCTTTGGCTGAATTATGACATCCCTATGCTTTATTAATGTTGATGTCATGAAGTTTTAGAATGAATTGGAGGTGTAATTGTAGGTAATCTTGCATGTTATTTTACCATGATGCTGAACCGAATTTGGTTAATGAAAGTAAAAGTTTGGAAGTTATTGGAATTGCTTGGTTACTTAACTCAAAATTTTGTCAATGATAAATACATACCCTCAAGGTATTTGTAAAAATATGTGAAGGAAGAATTTAGTAAATTATGGGTTGTTAAGCTTCTATGATATAGCTTGGAGTAGTACAAGCTTTGGCTCAAGTTATTAATTGAAACTATAAAATATAAAAGTGGGAGAAAGGGTTACATAGAATACTTATATCATATTTCATTAAATTTAAAGGAAGTATAAAAAGGGTTGATTAGGTTTATTATGATTTATAATTGAAAATGGAACACAAGAAAATATATATAAGGATAAATTTAGATTTGTCAAATAGATTAACTAACTTAAGTGTACTTAAAACATAATTAGTTAGAGTATTATCTTTAATATTGTTTGGATTGAATTTAAATGTTTGATAAGTGATTGAAAAATTACTTGATAAATGATTTTAGAATTTTGATTTATTTGTTAGGAAAGTGAGGGCATCATTAAAATTAAAGTGACAAGTTAAGAGAAGCAAACTTTAAAATTTTTAAAAAACATTCAAGTAAGTGGGTAGCATTCTGAATAAATTTTTAGTAAAGTGTTTATAAAATTTCTTTATTTAAATTTTACTATTATTCATTTATAAATTGTACAAATATCTTTGTTAATCTTATTTTTCTAATAATTGTTTTGTTAATGAAAATATCTTGATTTCACGAATGAT